CTGCCCTAGGATGTCAAGAACAGCGTCCTCAGTTGCATGGCAAAGTTCTGTTTTTAGACTCTCTCTGCCTTTTGAGTTACCTAAAGCACAGGATTGAAGACCGGCTCCGTTTAGGTGGGGACTGTCAGAGACCCTCAGAAATCAGAAGCCATATTTTTATGCCCACTTTGGACTTCAGTTCTGCCAGTGCCTCCATATTCAACTCTAGCTGAAGAAGGAGCTTGCGATTTGTGATTGCACATGGTTAGACTCTTGAATTTGAACTTCAGCACTACTGCTTTAGTTGCATGACCTTGGATAAATGACCGAGCCTCCCTGAACCTCACCCTCCACATCTGTGAAGTGGGCGTGCAATATTATTTTATAGGGTTAGAATAATAGTCATGAACAGTTAATTACTTCGAGCAGCTCAGGATACACATTTTATCCTCATTCCTCATAATGATTCTGCGAGGGTACTTTTATCACTCCCATGTTACAAACGAGGAAATCAAGGTTTAGAGAAGTTAACTCACTTGCCCATGGTGTATAGCTACTACATGGCAGTGCAGGACTCAAACCCATGTCCTTAACTGTGACGGTCAGTCCAAGCCCCAGGCACAGAAGAAAAGGGCAGTAAATGCTTCCCTCCCCTTTTCAACATATATTGATGTGATGACCCTTTGCCTTTATCTAGAACATTCTGTCTGCTTAGATTGTTTGTATTAACCACAGCGAATATACAAAATGTACAACCCAGACTGGGAATTTACTTCATCTTGGTGTAAACTCAGAAAATGCCTTTTTGACACCACCTGTTCATTGATTTCATTCAGCCAATATTAGTAGAGCACATACCGTGTGCCGGATAGTGTTTTGGTGCTTGCCACGGCCCCTGCATCACAGCTGACCGTTCTGTGGGGAGACAGGCAGCATCGTCATAAGCAGGGTGTGTGCCCTAATGACGAATGTTCAAGATGTGGTGGCAGCAGATGGGAAAGGGATCACAAAAAAGCCTCAGAGGGGAGGTAACGCGGTGAGCCTGGAAGTCACAGTTTCGGGCCATTACGGGGTGAGACTGCAGTCCGGGCACAGGCAAAGGGTGGGTGCTGAGGGAGCTCTGCGGAAGGTCCGGTGCAGTGGGGTGGGTGGTAGAGACAGGAAGGCAGGAGGCAGATCGTGAAGGGTTTATCTGTTGGAGTTAAGAATTTGCTTTTGATCCCCAGTGCAGTGGAGAGCTATGGAAGACTTTGGGGCGGGGGTATGTCATTATCAAGTTCACATTTGGGTAAGAACCCTTGACCACTCAGCAGAGAACCAACGGAGAGGGAAAGGCCAGAGGGAGGGTGACCAAGATGGCTGCTGTTGCAGAGTCCCGGTTGCTGCTGGCGGACGTCTGGACTGCGGTGGGTCGGTGGTGATGGAGGCAGGGCTGTTGGGACTTGCTGACTGAGTAGATGTGGGGAGCAGAGCTCTAGGGTGCCTTTCAGCTTTCTGGCTTGGGTGACTAGTGGATCATGGTGCCACCCACTAAGAAGGAGGACGTAGGAGGAGAAGCAGATGGCGGGAGCGGGGGAGAGGAGACCTCCTCCTTAGGATGAGGCGTGCCTGAAATGCTGTGGGGAATCCAGCTGGAGGTTTCAGGAGGAAGCCGTCTCAGTGCAGGTGTTCTGGGCTTGATTCTGGGCTTGAGATGCTGATTTAGAAGCTACACCATGCAGGTGGAAATAACTCGTGGGTGGAGGTGAAATTCCCCAGGAGTGATGTTAGTGGGAAGAGGGTGTAGGTGCTCTACCTCTAGAAAATTTCTTTTTTTATTCCTAAATTATTAAATTATTTTCAGTTAATAAAGGCTGCACAGTTAGGTTCTAAGACCAGATTCGTCTAAACATTAAACTGAAAATAAGACCTCAAATTTCTTTGTGTTTTTTGTTAAAGAATCTGGAAGCTTCATGATCTGCTCTCATATGCAGATAGGTAAGTGACAGAAGAATACCCAGCGAAGTCAGAGACCTGGCTAGCCCTGGCTTTGCCTCGTAAGGGCTGTGTTGACCTTGAGCTAGGCACCTTTCTTGAGCTCAGCTTCCTTGTCAATAATAGAGCTTGTTCTGTGGATTAAATAAGATAAAGACTATGGAAAGAATTTTGCAAACCCTTGTGCCTTACAAACATGTGGCATGATCGTTCTTTTTATCCCTGTAGGTTTGGGAGGAGATTATTTCTCATCTTTGTATCCAAGAGCAGCCCAAAACCTCAGCCATTGTCCTTACATGTGGTCTCCAGGATCAGCCAGCCTTTAGGGCCATGAACAATGACTGTCAGGCCTGCATGGATTAAGTGTAGTTCTGTCATCAAATAAAATTTACACAGGCTAATCTGAAACCTATTTAGCGGTCTGCATAATAATTATTGTGCGGCGGGCTGACTGGGCATAAATGGAAGGCATTTGACAGAAATGATTATATTTAGTATTATTTTTATATAGCCTAGCCGGAGTTTTAAAGTTCTTTCCTCTTTGACAGTCCATTCATTTCGCCACTCAACAAGTAGTTATTGAGGCTGTAATATATGCCAGGCACCGTTCTGGGCCCTGAGAAGACAGACAAACAGGATTTCTGTTCCTGTCCCACATCCGTCGAGCTTGAGTTCTAGTGGGGAGACAGTCACTGAACAGTCGACTTTACCCATAACGAGTAAGAATGCCAAGCTTCCCTTGAGACTGTGTTTGCTTTCATCTCTTCCTGCATCGGCATCCATGGATTAAGGGACAAAGATTCTGGGCCTGATTTGCCAACAGCAGAGTTGCCTTTGCTCCAATCCTTTATCCTTTTTTTAAAAAAAATTTTTATTGGAGTGTAGTTGATTTACAATGTTCTTTTAGTTTCAGGTTTGCAGCAGTCCAATCCTTTATCCTTTATTCTCCTCTGTCTCCTTATAGCAGGCAGTGGCTTGAGACTCTCCATCCATTGAACAAATATCTCCTGCGCACCTATTCTGTATAAGTAACCTCTGGGGATACAGCAGTAAACTGGAAACAGTCCTGGCCCTTGAGAAGCTGGCACTGCTGGGATGGCATAGAGAGGCACCCGCTCCTGGCACATGGCAAGGGTCGGGGGGAGAGGAGCACACTGCAGGTAGAGGGGCCTAGTTGTGTGCAGGAAGCTGCGAGGTACTGGGTCAGGCTGCAACACCGAGCTTCTGTGGGGAGGGGGGATTGTCATAAAACAAAACCTTTACTAAGTGAAACACACATACGGAAAAGTGAACATTATCATCAGATATGTACAGCTCGACGAGATTTCACAAACTGAGCACACTTTGCTCAGCACCTGGAATAAGAAACAGGATGTCATCAGCACCTCTAGAAGACCCCCTGTGTCCCCTTCTAGTCACCACCCGCCTGCAAGGGTCATCACTAGCTGGACTTCTTACAGCACACAATGGTTTTGTCTGCATTTGTACTTTTTATAGATAGAATCGTACTGTAAATACTCTTTTGTGCCTGGTTTCTTCCACTCAACATTATGTTTGTGAGATTCATCCACACAGGTGCATGGAGTTGTTGATTGTTCATTTTCATTTCCATATAAGATTCCATTGTATGAATGGACAATGTCTGTCTCCATTCTGCTGCTGGACCTCTGGCTAGGTTCCAGTTTGGGCAAACCCAAAGAGTGCTGCTGTGAATGTTCTAGTATGTCTTTGGTGAGTGTATACATGCACTTCTACTGGAAATGCCTATTGTAGAGTTGCTGGACATTAGGGTATGTGTAAAGCTCTAATAGACCAGTTTTCCACAACAGTTACGTTGACTTACATTCCCACTGACTCAGTAGAAGAGTTCCAGTTGCTCCACATCTTTGCTAACACTTGATAGTATCTTTTTTTTTTTTTTAAAGTCATTCTGGTGGGTGTATAATGATATCTCATTGCAGTTAAAAATTGCATTTTCCTGAATACCTTTCCAAGTGTGCTCCAAGAGCTTTTGATATACCGTTACCGAAGTGTCTGTTCTAGTCATTTGCCTATTTTTCTATCGGATTGTCTGTCTGGAGGTGGGGGGATGAATCACTTTAATACTAGTCTCCTAACCAAAGGTGACCTTGGTTTAGCATATTTGCATATTCACCAGCCCCTCCCTCACCCCAGTGATGGGGCAGGGCTGGTGGCCTGCAGACTCTGATCTCAGGGTGCCAGGAGGTCTCAGGGAGGGACAATACCCATGCTGCCTTGCAGGGAGGCAGCTCCTTCAAGGTTCTGGCTTTGACCCCAGCCTTAGGAGGGAGAGGGGCTGGTGGAGGAAGGATGGAGAGGGGTTAGTTTTCAGCAGATGTGGAAACCAGCTGATGACCTGGGATGTGCGCTTCTGCCCTCAGTATTTGCTGAGAAGCGACCTCTCCCATCTGGGCCGGGGAGGAGCTGACATTTGTGTAGCCCCTGCTCTAGGCCAGGCCTCTCCTGTGTCCTCCTCGGCCTCAGTTCAACCCATCCAGGCACGTGTTGTTATGCCAAGTCTACCTGAGGGGAAATGGAGTTGAGTGACCGAGAAAAGCCACCCAGCTGGCAAGTGGCGGAGCTGGGCTGGAACCCATCACTTCCCCAACATCACTCCCCAGAGAGCAGGGCATGTGATGTGCCCGGGACAATGGCCTAACCTTCCCACCCACTCCTTTTCTGCTCACCCATGGCTCCTGTTCTTAAGAGCAGATGAAAGTTTTCATCCCCAATTAGACATTTTTTAAAAAGTGGAGCCCTATGAATCATTCAACCACAGTCACACCCTCCTATCCCCTGATTTGATGGTGGTCAGGGTGGAGGATGGCTTTAGAACCTGAGGCTTCTGTGAGTCTGGGCAGAGGCAGGAAGGACAGAGGCCTAGAGCCGGCCTGGAGCTCCCCTACAGGCACAGCGATTCGTGGAGGGAGTGTTGGTCCTCTCCACAGAGGCTGTGTGGGTGGTAGCTTGGGCCCCTGGGCCAATAGGACTCTTAATTACTCACGTGCTCCCTCGCTCTCCCGCAGAGTTATGTCATGCCCAGACCAGCAGAGGGCTCCATGAGGATTTATAGAAGATGCCCCGCGTCTCGGCGCCTTTGGTGCTGCTTCCCACGTGGCTCGTGATGGTTGCCTGCAGTCCGCACTCCCTGAGGATTGGTAAGTGCTGCCCCTACGGCACCCTGGGGGCAGCCCGGCCCTGGGTGATGCCCCTTCCACACCCCAGGTGTCCGCAGGGGACATCTGACCCTGCACTCTGCCCTTCCTGAGTTTGGCTGGGACAAGGGTGGTGGTGGTGAGGCAGCCGACAGGCTGACAGCTACAATCTGCTCAAGCTGCCCAGCTCCTCTTGTGATGAGAAAAACGATGTTGAGTGCCTTTTGCAGTCTGTGATGGACTCAGCTGGTCACAGCTGTAGGTGAAGGAGGGTGGGAATGGCCATGGGGCTTCCAAATCCAGGGGCTAGAGAGCAGAGCAGAGATCATCTCTTCTCTCCTCTGATCAATCCAAGAAGGCTTCCTGGAGGGTGTGTTCAGATGAAGTGTTCTTGGTGCCCCTGACCCAGCTGCTTGGCAGGGCCTTTGCCTTGGTGTCTGCTCGCCCTACCCTGGTTCTGGAGAGGAAGGACAGGGCACTTCAGTGGCGTGTGTCCACCAGCTCCCTCCCTTGTCATTGCTGTCATGGGGGTGCCCGTTCTGGGTGTGGGCAGGCACTGCCGCCACTGGCCCGATCAGCGTCCCCGTGCCTGGCGGAAGACTTGGCTCTTTCCGGGGTCCAGGAGTGCCTGAGAAATCAACTGCCTCCCCTGCCCCCCAACACCTCCAAGACTGAGCAAAGCTCCTTAACTTCAGGCTGGGCCACTGCCTGCTGATCCGGGTCCTGGGGACACGGCCCCAGCTGTAGAGACAAGGAGACACAGTCCAGTCCAGCAGACACTGTGTGGTCATCCGATGGCCTGGGATAGACGTGGGGTATCAGGGATTGGGGTGTGTACATGTGTATAGGGAAGGGAGTCATTGTGGACAGGCAGGTGGGGCACAGCATTGAGAAATCCAGGCAGGTGTGTTGGTCATAAGAAGATCAGTCCAATGGCAGGAACCCTGGGCAAGGCCAGGCAACAGCCCTAGAGGGACCCAAACACCAGGCAAGTTATCCAGACGGGGGCCCACGTGAAGGCCCTCTGCCCAGACTGGGGTGGGAAGGGGGGAAAGTGGATCCTGTGAGTGAGGCAGGCTTCTAAACTTGAACCTGAAAGGGTTAGAGGACGATTTAGAATGAAGATCATGATGCAGGATCCCAAGGACTTGGCCTCAAGCTCCCGAATTCCTCTACTTGCAATTAGGACTGGTTCTAAGGTCCCAGAGATGGGCATGATGGTGGTGTGGGTGGTCAGGAGGCCCTGGCAAGGCCAGGCATCATGGGCCAGAGGCTGAGCTGCAGGTCCCCGAGTTACTCCGTGTTCCGTCGTGGGTACGCGGGCGCGTCTCTCCGTGCATATACAGTGGTAACTGATTGGAATCAGAAACAAAGACCAGTGACTCAGTTCTTCCCCTCCCCCTGCCTTCGGTCACCACTCTGCATACTTGAAAAAAGGAACTAAAAACAAAATCTTCCCTCCCTCTTCCCCATTCACTTCTACTGAAACTTCAAAACCTAATTTAATTCTGCTTAGCAGCAATGTAAAACAGTTCATATCCTTAAGATGCGTAATTTATAAGATGCCTCCAGTTATTCAGCATTTGCTGTGAGGTTTTCTCCTCCTCTAAATAAGTGGCTAAAGCGGTAACCCATCAATTTCCATTTGTGGCTAATGGGAAGCGGAAAGGGATTGAGCCAGAAGTGGCAGCTCCTCGCGGCCTCGGCTCTCCTGACACTTGTTCCCCGGGAGAGAAGCGGAAAGTGGAGCTGACAGATCCCTGTCCGGCCTGCTGTGCGACAGTGGAGGGCTTCAAAGGGCCCCTCAGGCTCCCATCCCCACACTTGGAACAATGCTTGTCCAGTTCTGTCCTCTCTGCTGGCACTCGTTCTGGTTCATGCCAGGCCACGTCCATCTGATCTCCAGCCAGGGGCCCTGCTGGCTGGCAAGGTCAGACTGGGCCTAGTCTCCAGAGGCCAGGAAGCAGAGTGAAGCCAACAAAGAGAGAGGAAAGTAAAGAAAAGCCACAACAGCAATGCCAGGGCTTGTTTTGCTGTCTCCTTGGTTATCCTGGGAGCCGGGAGCTTTATGGATGGAAAGGTGCTAATTACATGGACTCCAGAGGGGATGTGGAGTAGGGCAGAGATGGGAGGAGAAGTAGGTCAAGAAAACACAAGTAGCTGTGCTTAGCGGCAGGCAGCCTTGCACACAGATGGGCTGGACCAGCGTTGATGGCGACGGGTCCCCCAAGTCCTCCAGAGGCTCGCAGGAAAGGGAGGGGCTGCTGCTCCTTCCCCCACTTCCTACGGGTCACTTCTCCCCACATTTGATTCTTCTGGGGTTCCTCCCAAACCTCCAGCCTCAGAGTAGATGGCTGTGAGAGTGAGGCTGCACGGAGGGACCGGGAATCTTGGAGATAAATTGTCCCGCCTGCTCCAACCCCCGCCCCGCTTGTCAGCTGGTGACAACGTGGATGTTTGGAAAGAGGTGGCGAGCCCACTACCCTGCCGTGGGACTGCTGGTTTTCATTCAAGTGAGGCACGGGGCGGGAGATACAGCCAAATTGTCTATTACAGCGTCCGGTGTTTACTCAACGAATGAGGCTTTGGGAGAGGGAAAGGGATTTTATTTATGATGGCGAGGCTGCCCGCATAAATTCCCCAAACTCTCACACATATGTCAACCTGTTTCAGTCATCTGTCTTCTGAAAATGTCTTTTGATTTTGCTTCTGTCCCTCTGGGTCCTCTGAGTGATGACTGTGAGAGCCGCCAGTTAATAAATGCCCCGAGAAGACCACCCTCACCATCTCTTCAGCCCTCCATGACTTAAAGGGATCATCATCATATCTTAGAACCGTAAAGGATTCTATGGATTCCATTTTCCAACCTGCTCATTTCACAGATGAGGAGGGAGGCCCAGAGAGGGTGGTGATTTGGCCAAGGTCACACAGCAAGTAGGGGGCGGGGCTGGTGGCAGTCAGATCATCTCTTTCCAACCATTCTCCCATTCCCCTGTTCCAGCACACTTACTGGGTTGTGCTCTGAGTGTTATGGCATTTTCCCACCAGATTCTGAATTCCAAGGGAGATCGACCACGTAACACAGGTCCCGACACTTGACGTATGCAAGGATATCACACAAACTCAGTGAATGGGTGGGTGGATGAGTCCACGGCCCTTGCGAGATGTGGTTCCCCAAGAGCACGTGCAGCATCATTGTTCTAAAGTTTCTTCTGGTCTTCCCCGTGCTTCAAGAGGTAGACTTATTGGAAGAAGTAGAAGAAAAAGGAGAAGGAGGAGAAAGGGAAAATGTCCATCTATCTGTCTGACTTAAAAGGGAAAAGAGGAACGGGCTGGAGATCCTGATTGGGTTCTAAGGCAAGTTTTGGCTATAATGGTGAAAACGGGGATTCAACTATTCATTTATGAATCCACTCAACAAGTATTTATTGAGTGCTGTGTGCCAACACTGAGGACACAGCGCTAAATAATAATGATCCCCCTAATAATTACCACTCTGCCAGGCACTGTGCTAGGTGTTTCACATATTTCAGGCAATCTTCACATCAGAATTAATGACCAGGTGTTATAGATGAAGAAACAGAGGCTTGGGGAGTTTAAATAACTCATCTAAGGTCACACAGAGGCTGCAATTCGAACCTGTCTCCAAAGCTTCTCTTTCTGCTTTGCTGTACTGCAGCTTTACACCCCTGGAGACATTTGGGATTATCCCATTATCACAGCAGTCACATTAAATATATTGTGTTCTATCTGGCAAAGGAATTGAAAGATGGAATCATTGTTGCTTTTATAGTCTGTTGCTCTTTTTTGATTCTTTTACTCCCAAATAATTTCCTAAGGACCCAGACAAGTCCATCAGACAGATGAGGAGACTGAGGCCTGGGGATTTGAAAGGCTCGCTCAGGGTGGTACAGAGTCCTGCTCAGCGTGGGTGGCACTAGACATCAGCAGGTTATTGTAGCGATTGAACCTCTTTCTTGTTGAAGTTTCCCCTGTGAGGTGAAGCAGCGAGAGCTTGGATTTATTTGACACTCCGTCTTACTAGGACCCCAAGCACTTTATAACTCCCATTTTTTTACTGAGGTGGTTTCCCTCAATGAGCTCCAAGTCCTGCAGAGAGAATGTTAAACATAGAACATTCAAATGTTATGAAGATGAAGATAATAAAAGAATTGGGGGAGGCAAGGGGGAGGAATAAAAAGCACTGGTTTTCTTATCCTGTTCTGCTGTGTATTAAATATATCGGACACACCAAGATCCAAATATACCAACAGAATTCTGTGCCTTGCCGAGGACTCACTGTGGGTTTTTTTTGAGTAGTGGGCTCCCCTTCATACTGTGACCACGTGACGTGATTTATGAGATCTTGAGCAGTGTGTAACTCTTGATCTCTCTGCCACACTGAGTCACCCATATAAGCAATCAGTTGGTCTTTCACATTAGTGACAAATAGATGACTTTCTCCTTCATCTGTCATCTAGAGACGGAATCCACGCACAAAGCTTTCTGGGACACAGATCCCTCCCCTGACGATCACCTTAGGAGATCTGTGTCTTTCTTATTATGTCTGTATTCCTGGGTCTAGCACAGTGCCTGACCCATAGGGGTACTTCTTCGGAAATGTTTGCAGGATGAGCTATCTAATGGCAAGTTTTGAATCTTGAATTGACCTGTCAGTTTTCAAATTTCTCTTCTCCCAGATATTGGTCAGTGCTCAAAAATGCCAACTAGTTTTATTTAACAATAAGTGTACAAAATACGTATTTGCAAGAGTAAATATTTTGTCAGAGACAGTCCATGAGGGTGTCTGCCCGCATGTGTGCTTGCACAAGGCTGTCTCTCCTCTCCTTCCTGCCCCACCCCTGCTGCCACCACATCTTCAGAGGGATGAGGGAGACTTGGCTGCCGTTAGCAAGGCATCCAGGCCAGTGTACCGTGTGGAGTCATCTGTCTTCGCCTGCTGCTTGGTCTGCTGCCAGGAGCACCACACCGGATACTTGGAA